AGGAGTGATAGCTTATTTTGACGACATCATAATTCAAGGAAAAACTTATAAAGAATGCATGAACCGTTTACTGAATGTCTTAGACAAGTTGAGAGCTAATGACTTACACGTAAACATTAGTAAGTGCAAATTCTTTGAAAGAAAAGTACAATATTTAGGACATATAATTAGTGCAGAAGGACTCCAAAAGTCTCCAGACAAAATAAAAGCCATCCAGGATGCACCTCGCCCGAGAAATGTGGAAGAATTACGTCAATTTCTAGGACTTGTTAATTACTATTCCAGATTCATAAAGAATGCATCAGATATCTTATACCCATTGAATCAACACCTAAAGAAAAATGCCCAATTCCGTTGGACAGCAGAGGAGGAAACTTCTTTCATTCGTGCGAAATCTGAGATTACCAGTGAGAGGGTACTAACCCCGTTCAATCCTAAACTACCAATAACATTAGCAACAGACGCCAGCCCATTTGGACTTTCTGGAATATTGTCACATCAGATGCCAAATGGAACAGAACGGCCTATAGCATTTGCCTCCAGATCCCTCACATTTGCCGAACGAAACTATAGCCAGCTGGATAAAGAGGCTACTGCTGTGTTCTGGGCATGCAAAAAATTTTTTGATTATATCTATGGAAGAAAATTTACTCTCATAGTCGACAATAAACCCATGATGACAATACTACACCCTGACAAGAAACTACCCGTTTTGACAGCTACAAGAATGCTAAGATATGCGCACTTCCTTTCCAACTTCGATTACATCATCAAACATAGGAAGTCGACTGAACATACAAATGCCGATTACCTGTCACGAAATCCTATACCCATAACAGGAAAAGAAGCCCTAACAGAAGACCACGATGATACTTATCATGACACTGTCGTAAAACATATCTCAACCGGAACTATCACATCCAAAGACATTCGAAGAGAATCGTCAATTGACAAGGAACTATCACAGATCAAAAACGACATTGTCAATGGCCATATGTACGACCCAGAAATATCCACACACAACGGCATTCTGTTTAGAGGACACCGCGTAATCGTCCCAAAAAGTTTACAGCCAGCAGTACTACAAGAGCTACACTCTACACACATAGGAATCGTTCGAATGAAGGCCCTAGCCCGAAACTACTGTTACTGGCGTAATATCGACTCTGATATTGAGAATACGGTTAAAAGTTGCAAAGAATGCTGTGACATTAAGAAAAACCCAACAAAAGCTCCAATACACAAATGGGAAACACCTACAAGAAACTGGCAACGCATACACATCGATTACGCAGGACCATTTATAAATCATTATTTCTTCATTGTCGTTGATGCCAAATCGAAGTGGCCGGAAATATTCTATACAAAGAAAGCACCAGACACATCAATCACAATTCATTTCCTACGTGAAGTCTTTGCTCGATTTGGTCTACCTGAGATCTTAGTAAGTGATAATGCAAGCATTTTTAAGTCACAAGAATTTCAAGAGTTTTGTTCGAGAAACGGAATCCGTCAAAGTCTAATAGCACCGGGACACCCAGCCACAAATGGCCAGGCTGAAAGATACTGCCACACCTTAAAAACACACCTCAAATGTATGAAGCATGAAACTGGTACCTTACATCAGAAGCTTCATGAACTATTATTCCGATATAGAGCGACTCCCTTATCTAACGGGAAAAGTCCAGCAGAAAATCTATTAGGACATACAATAAGAACAAAATTAGATTTGCTCAAACCCCAGGCACAAGCTTCCGAAAGGAACATAACTGAACAACCGAAATTCTACAAATTTTATCGTGTGGGAGATCGTGTACAATCCCGAAATTACACAACTTCCTGTCCTTGGAAATATGGTATCGTAGCCGAACGACTAGGTCGTGTACACTACTTAATTGAACTCGACGATGGATACGTAATAAAAAGACATTACGATCAACTACGTCTGTGTGAAATTAACAAACAGACAACTCCCGTCCAGATAGGATTCGACTTCAACAAAAAGAAAATTGACAAGTGCAACGACACAGTCAACAACAGGGACTCATCCTCAGCTAGCGCTAGTACACACCCTAGCACAATTAGCCACGACGAAGGAACTGTAACGACATTACGCAACAAAAGGGAGACAATGACAAAAACAACTTCCGACCAGCCCCCAGAGAAAGAGGGAGAATCTAGCCGAACGATAACAAATGGAAATGAGTCGGAACCTCGAAGATCAACACGAATACGGAAACCAGTACAACGCCTAAATCTCTAAACGAACAAAATTAATTTAAATAACATTTTATTAAGTGTGGGAGAATTGTTATGTATGTAAACCGCCAGGGGATGACCGCTACCGGGAATCGCCCCTTGACCTACTTAGGTCACCCCACACCTCCGACCTCGTGTATGTTCTTTGTCTCAACGAGTTGTCTTTAGTTGTTTTGTAACCCCTAGACCTGGACAGGACGATACGTTGTTCACTCATTGTTACGTTTATGTTAATAAAGCTAGTTATATACGTTTACGAGTTATCGTTATTTCCACGAACATAACACAATTATAATTGTTATTTCTCCTCTTTGGACTCCATATTGACTATTTTGGAAAAATAGTCAATATGGACTATTGGAAATGGACTATTTTTCCAAAATAGTCAAAATAGTCATATTGACTATTTTGGAAAAATAGTCAATATGGGAGTGTAATAAATGGAGTTTTAAGCTCATCTTGCATCCTTGAGCTTCATATGCTGCGGTGGCCAGCATGCAATGTACAATTGTTTTGTAGTCAGGGTCCTTAGTATTCCCCAAAAACTTACGCACTACATTCTTGAACCATGCTTCTTTTTCCTTTTCTCCCATTGTTTCCAAAATCTGCTTTGTCTTGATCTCCACGTTTCAATTTGAAATATGCAAATTAAACTTTCTTCTCAAACTCACTTATGTTTCTTTGTTGACTTTTCACTGTGCATTCATCACAAATATAACAGAAGCTGTCAGGAGAAATTACACAACCTCTGCGAGCCATATTCCAAAATAAAAATAAAAGCACAGTAGCGTTCAAATGCTGGATTTAAACTGAGTGTGGCATTAGATGGCCAGTGAGATACTGAACTTATTTAGCTTGTTGAAACATGATCTAATCCGACAGCAGGTTGTTTATATTTATTCCTAATATCCCAGATAACATGTCAAAACATGTTCAACCTCACCAATAATATTACACACTATCAACTTTTAACCTGTTTCTATACGATCATGTGACCTTCCTCCTAATGCTAAAACTACTTAACCCACCTCGCCCTACCACTACTCTTTTCAACCACTAACATTTTTATTTATTACAAAGTCCAGCTATAATTTATAGAATTAATGTGAGAAGTCTTCGTTTTAAGGCCATTTTTTAAATAACTTAAAATTTAGTAATGTTTTTTTTTAACTAGGAATTTTACGCTAAATACGAACAAAAACTTGAGTATAACAAAAAAAATTGACGAGATGGAATTTTTTTGGTAATTTTTCATTTTTACCAAGTTGAAATCTGTAAGAAAATGTATAAAAATCCTATGCCATTTTTTACTTGCAGACCTGTGTTGTTATTGCCTTACTGTCTTATTTAATTTCTTATTATATATTTGTCAATGTGGACATTAATTATTAACAGGACAATTATACTGGTGTTAAGCTTTCTACACAAAAAGCAAATTAAATTTATTTTTTACTTTTCTTAAATATCTGTTTTATTATTTTAACTATAAAATGTTATATATATAACTATATATGTATGTATTTTCAAATTATAGCCCAATTTATTTACTGCAGTTGTGTCTATATGCTATGCATCAGGTTTTGGTTGGTGTTTATAATTGTATATTTGACTTTCCCAACTGTGACAAGCAATTTTGATCAACAAAAGGTTGATGATGAACTAAACCACATAGTTTTAAAACCATAGTGTGTTTATTTATTGAAGTTAAATCAGTTTTAGATACCTTCATTTATTCTGAAATATATTCCTGGATGGATTCTAAGTGATATAGCTTATATATGATCACTAATCAGTAATTCAGTGTTTTTCAACTGGGGTGGCACTGCGGCACAATTGGGGTGTCACAAAGCTTAGGGCCTTAAGTAAATTTCCAAGAAAATGCCTAAAGTGTAGTTCAAGATAATTCATTGTCAGTTCTGTTTTGCTACGAGATATCTATTAAGCAAAGAAACGACGATGACTAATTGCATGTTAATGTTCTACGCTACATGTATGCATGAGTTCACCCAAATCACATTGCCTTCACATTTCCAGTCCCAGTACCAGGCCAACCAGCAGAGAAGAACGACATGGACACTTGTCTTGTATATGCTTTAAAAAGCATTACATTGTACTTGAAAAGCATGTGGTTTCAATCACAAAGTAGGTAGGTGCATATTACAGTATTTTCATAGTATTCAAAAGCAATGATGACAAACAATTTTTTATCATTTTTTTTAATTAAATTTTTTAAATTGATATGAAAAAGATAAGAAAAAAATAATGAAATGTTTAATTTATATATGCATCAAAATAGTATAAAAAAACTTAACAAAAATTGTTTATCAATAAAATGATGATATATTTGATGATAAAACTAGATTTAAAAAACAATAGCGCAACTATTATTTTACATGTAGGTGTTTTGACAAAATTCAATGGACTTAAATTTTCATTTTGAACATGTATAAATGCTTTTTTTGCATTAAAATGCTGCTTCAAACTGTTAATTTTTAAAATTTTTCTTTTTCCCAAAAAATTTTCCCATCTCAGCATTGTGCATAATATTCATTTTCACAAAAAATTCATCTGGCCCATTAGTCATCTGGGCCTTATTCAGATGCATCACTGGTCAAGGGTGTCACGATTTTTTATTTTTCAATCGGGTGCCACTCAATGAAAAAGGTTAAAAAACACTGCAGTAATTATATAAATTGTGATGTATCAATTGCAAAGTTCAGAAAAAAAAATTTTTTTTTTAGGTTTTTCACACTCAGCGTTACCATCTTGAAGTGAGGAAAATCTGTGTTCAGTATTTGGATAAAAATCATAAAATGTATGAAGATGTAAGTTAAAACACTAATCTGAAATTCTTTTGTAACCTTTAGATTTTAATTGAATTTAAACTGTTAACTTTTTTCTGTTTATCCAAAAATTGGAAAAAAATCATTTGATTCAATATTGAATTTTGATTGTAATTGTTTTTATTCTAATGCTTATTTTATGAAAATAATTTTTTAAAATTCTGTTAAAGTAATTTAAATAATAAATTCAAACATTTCAAACTGATGATACTATAAATGCCAGTTTTATCATTAGTTGAACCTAGGCAATCATCTAGGGGTGCCAAGATATGGAGGCATTAGCCTTACTCAAAAAGAAAAGTCATTAAATCTTTTCTATCAAAATTAAAAAATAAATTTAAATTTATAAGTAGTTATTATAATTAAATAAATAAGTTTTAAATTATTCTCAGAAATAACAACAACTAAATTGTCAAGATCTTACAAAGTTAATGGTTCATGATACTCAAACATCTTAACAAAATACCCACTGTTTAGAAATGGGTTGTACAGTACATATTTGGAAGTAATTTGCCTTATGGTTAGCAACCCTATTGTATCTATTCCTTGCCAGGATTAATTGTCAAAGCATGCCAGTGATAATACAAATGTCATATAAATCCAATTTAATGACTACAATAAAATTTAAACATACTGAATTTTGAAGCCATGTTGCATACTTGAAGTACTTCAGAGTTGAATTTTTGCACTCAAATCCATAAATCTAAACTAGGAATTTGTCAAATTTTCAAGAGTGGAAGCATTAGCCTTTGTCTCAACCTTTTTTTTTTTTGTATGAAGACCTGCCCTGCTTTTCATTAACTTGATTAAGGACTTACATTGCAAAATTTTCACCCTAGAAAATCTTTAAGAAAACATTTCCAAATTTTAGCATTTTATTTTTTCAAAATTAAAACTTACAAAAACAATGTAGACTGGCTCTCTGATACCTCAGAAACAGCTCACTTGTCTTGCAATATCTATAAAGCATTAAATTGCATCTACAATCAATATGGATAAATTGATCTAAAACTTCCCTGAAGCAAAAGTCTAAAATTAATTTTTTATAATTTTTGTACTTAAGATGTAATGATTTTTCTTCCCGTACAGATATTAGGAGTAATCATACAAATATGAACGCATTAGTGTTAGTTAATAAACATTTTTTTAGAATGTTCATAATGCTATTTTTTTTATAATGATCCACCACATCCAAAAAACCTTTAACTCCAATGATGTGTTTACACACCAGCGAACATTTTCGACCCCATCTGGGTCTTCATCAGGCTATGGTTATATGGAATTTGAACGTATGCAGAATGGAACAACAAAACTAAACGAATGCGATTCAAACTTTAGAAAAAAAAACCCAAATTTAAGAATAAAATGGAACATTACCCATGTGCTGAAATGACGGTTAAGCACGTGCCACTTCACATTTGCGAAACGTTGAAAACATACAAAATATACGTAATCCAAACTCATTTACTGGGGTGGAGTTCCCTCATAGCAAAACTTCCACACACTAGACTTTCGGCACGTGGGTAATGTTCCATTTTATTCTTAAATTTGGTTTTTTTTCTAAAGTTTGAATCACATTCGTTTAATTTTGTTGTTCCATTCTGCATGCGTTCAAATTCCGTATAACCGTAGCCTGATGAAGACCCAGATGGGGTCGAAAATGTTAGCTCGTGTGTAAACACACATCACTGGAGTTACAATTCACCACATCCAAAAAACCTTTGTATTATATAAGCATGTGTGCATGCAAGTGTGCGCCACTTGCATGCACACATGCTTATGTGTATGATGATATGCATACAGATGCAAGAGTATCTAATATCCCTAGGCAAAAAATTTTAAATGTTTCTAAACATTGTATGTATATCACATCTAAATTTTTTTTGCCTAGGGATATCAAGTACTCTTGCACCAGCCTTTATGATATGATTAAGGTAGAGTACAACTCTTAAAACAAGCACATTAAATAGGCCTGTAAAGTTGTTGATCAGTATAAAACTTTTTCTCAATACAGTATTTGATACTTATGGTGATACCACAACTAGAAGTTCTTGAATTTATCAATTCTGTTTGTTGTCAAAAACAAACAAAACAAAAATATATTTTGAACTAGAAAAATATAATTATTGTACCATATCAAAAATAAGATGATAAATTACTTATGCTTGCTGCTGCTTTTTTTTTTTTTCACATTATTTTGTGGCTGTATGCCATATTAATGTACAGGTAACCCCCGTATAACACGGCAGTTCTATAGCATGGATTCACTCTAACACACTTTGAGAATTGGGAACATCCCTGTATAACAGTGCTTTTATACCACAGGTTCACTCTAACATGGTTCGGGAATTAGGTAAAACCCTCGTATAACATGAAATGTAATAAAGGATGTGTTCTTTTATACCTCTGCGTAACTCCGTACGAACATTCTAATTGTTTTCGTGGCTACTTTGAATGCTCTTTCAACAAATAATCCATTTAAATTAATGGTTAAATTTTACAATTGGGACCCTTCTTTTGCCTCTAAAATCTCATTTTAGAATTATAGATTCCTCCATCACGATACTATCGATAGTGCTGGCACCACCTTTTTTTCTTTCACCGTCGTTCCTAAATGCCTACAAACAGCAGCGCACTCCCATTGCAGAGCGACCGCTATTAACGAACGCACCCTAAAACTGTTACCAGTTGATGCTCATGCTGAGATCATCATACAGGGTGAATAATCTTCTGGTAAAATATTTACTTAAATAATAAATATTTTACCTATGAAAAAAATGAATAATAAATCCAATTTAAATAAGGATTTAACAGCATGTTTTTTAATTATTGGAACCTAACCCCCCTTTTCGCACTAGTTCTTTGTTTCGTATAACACAGATTTGCGTAACACGGCAATTTTTTGGAACGTAACTCCCGTGTTATATGGGGGGTTACCTGTATATATTAATTTAAGTATAGTTTTAGTCCTGTTCTTTGTTTCTTCTTTCTTCCAGAACTTTCCTTTCCAACTTTCTTCCCTTGGGTGAGGTAACCAATTCTTGGAACCACATAGAACAATGAAAGAAGCGGCCCTTGGGCCAGTGAGTGAAAGAAAGGACCTTCTTGGATCTAGACCTCGTAGTGAACAGACGTCAAATGTGGTGTTCTAGGTTGCGAATGGCAATGACTGGAGAATTTAAGAGAGTTTGAGAATTGAATTTTTATCGTAGTTACGATAAGATGGTGTAATAACAAGTTGCAAGGAGAAACTTAGGGAGGAGATGATGAGAGACTTTTCCGAAAATGTTTAATGTAATATTCCACCCAAAATTGTGAAATCAGCAAAATCTGGATATTTCACTCCTTACTGTATTCTAGTTTTCTAGATTTTTTATCCCCTATCATCTTTCTTTCTCTAGTTTTAAGTAAGTATGTAAGTATTAGTAGCAAATGACACATTTTCTATGAATGTATGTCTCTTTAATCTGAATGACTATTAAGATAAAATATAAAGATAAGAATTATAAAGCCTTCCCCTATATCAATAGAGTTTATAATAATTGTAGTAAGATTTAAAAAGAATTAAATATTGTTTTAGCCCCATCTTTGACCAATAAGACTTCACATAATGTCTATAATAATAATAAAAAATATAAAACGAATGTTGATAAATTAAAAAAGTCGGTGTTGTGTATAAAATTAATTGTAATTGTCAAAACCCAAAAAATTACAGTAGACCACTATAACGCGAAGATACATTCCTTGTTATACGAATTTCGCGTTGTTGGAATCCTTGGGCTGTGATTGGCTCACGTATTTGACACGTGTGAAGTTTACGGACTACGGCTGTTTGAAAGGTTTTCTTCCATAAAATTAATCGATTCTAGACTAATTCGACTTAACATTTCCAAAATACGTATATTTTTTTTGGAAATAATCCGTATAAACTACGCTATAAACAAAAAATTGTAGGATTACTTACCGAGTGTGCACCATTCGACTACGCCCGTTGTTCAAAGCTTGTCTTCGTCGCGGAACAGCACACGAAACGGCGGCCGCGATTTCTGATAACGAATTTTTCGCAGAAAAATAACTTGACCTTTGGAGACATCATTAATATAAATAATTTTTATGGACGTTGAATAAGAAGTGTTTCTTTCACAAGAAATGTATAAAATTAGTGCTGTATTAGACTTACGGTACCTAATTTACATACTGTACAGACGATAGTTTGCCTAAACTCTCCGTAGCGTGGCGGCAGAAAGCATATATATAATTATAATAAAGTTACAATAAATTAAATTAATATATAATTATATATACAGTACCTAATTTATATATAATTATATGTACAGTACTTAATTTATATATAATTACATGTACAGACGATAGTTAAACTCAACTTACCTGCCTAAACTCTCTGTAACGTGGCGCTAGACGGCGGAAAATAGTTTGGCTGCTCGTCTGCGATAATGAGTTGGCGATGACGTTTTACCATGTTTCACGTGCCCCGTTATATGAATACTGCCGCAATTTTTTTGCCGCGTCATAGGAATCTACATTATTGAAACCTGCGTTATAGGGGGTCTACTGTATATAGGTGAAACTAGTAGAACATTAGAATTAAAGAACACGAAGCAGCAAAAAGATTAAAATATAATAATTCTCCGTGGTTCAACTACAGAGAATTATTATATTTTAATCTTATTTTAATTGGATAAAAAATAGTAACTGTCAAATAGATAGAAACAACATAAAAATACTTCATTCCGAAAAAGATATGTATAAATGTAAATGTAAGGAACATATTGAAATTATGAAATTTAAGGATGATGATGTAATCAATATATCAAATGGTATGCAAATTGACCAACAGTAGTACAATAAGATAGAGGCACGGGGGAAAAAAGTGATTTTAATGTATTTGTCATACACAGTATTGTATTAGTAAATGAATGGAAATATATTGTGAAACTGTATGTAGTAAAAATTTTTTAATATTACTATATTGCATGTCTTCTTCTTCTTGGTGCCATATCAGATTCCTGACGTCGGCGACACCTGGCATAGGTTTGTAATCCGCCAAGGTGTATACTAGGGAAAGTTACTACCCAGAGTGGTTTCCCGTTGCCTTCTCTGGGGCGCGATGTTACGCGAGGGGAACTAATGCCTTCCGGGAGGACTTTTATGGGGAACTGGCCTCCTATTTAGTCGTTATTGGCAAGGAGAAAACCCGGAAAACTCCAAGCAGCCAGCCTGTCCGATCGCGGCGCGAACCCACGACCGAACTCCCAGTGTTTAGGGTACGAAGACCACTCGGCCACTGGTGGGCATATTGCATGTAAATAACCTGTAAAATGGTTATTATAATTAGTTACTCCAATGTTATGTTGTAGAAAATACACATTCTTTAAAAGATGCTCATAAAATCTTACATTTTTCAACAGATGTATTTATATAAAAATCGATATGTATTGTTATTTTATTAGAATGTGATATTTGGAGATTGGGGAAAAAAATTATAAAAATATTAATATATTACAGTTACCTTATAAATGCTTTAAAAGTGTATTTTTTGGTGTTTTTAATGACTGTGTACGCACCATTTATGAAAACAAAAAACACGGGTTTACACAATATTAGGGTTCAAGTACCAGGCCTGGACTTTCCAAATAAAAAACAATAATTTTCCAAAATCACAGATAATAATTCACAATAAATATAAGTTTTATTATATTGACAAAAAACAATAATGGATTAATTGTTCCAATAGTAAGTTAAATAATTGAATAATTGAAAAGTAGCACACAAAAATCAATTATCAAAGAAAATTATACTTATATCAAATCAACAAAACTTTTATCTCCACCTCAAAAAGGATTCTACAGCAAAAAGATACGGCTTCCTCTAATTGATCAGACGTCTCTATCACAGTTGTCACCTGAAGCTACCTCTCTATAGTCGAGGTGCTGCTTTTTATTTAACGCCTAGTGCAGCTCCACACTGTCTTCATTTACATACATCTGCGTGACAGGATCAGGCACGGATTAACTAAGTTTGCTTTTCTTTCTTTGCCACCTGTGCTTAGGAGTTTGTCCTTAACTAAAAAAGAACCCCAAAAAGAAAAATAATCAAATAAAAATAACGCCCCAAACCATAAAATAATGATTGGACATTGACTCCTTTACAACTGTATTGAAAAATCTTTCCAATGTTACCTGATATACACTGTGGTTTTAGAAAACAACCATATGTACCATATAAGTGTGACAATTTTAAGTAATAATTTTAAGACATATATTTTTGTCAGTAAATATGACCTACACGCAAGAAATTTTGTCATGTTACTAATTGTTGTTTTTTTATAATTTGTAGTATTGCATTGAAGAGAGGCTTAGCATTTAAATAAGAACAAAATGCATATGAGAAAACAATAAAAGAAGTGTCTAACCTGAAAGCTGTAATGATAGTCTACTGAACTTAATAGTCATTCAGAGAACGTACATCCATACAATGTAATAAGAGCTACCATAAGTGATATTTATGATACATTTTGTAACTGTGTGTTGGAATATTGTTTGACGCCGTATTGTCATTAATTACTGTAGAGTTAGAATCAAAAAGAACCTGTTTATATACGCAAAATAAAATACTTTGTTTGATTATACTATCGTTGAGTTATTTATATGGCTTTCCTTTGCTGATCTAAATATATTTTACATGAACACCAAAATTTAAAACCTTCAGCAAATTTTTTTAAACTAACTAAATACAGTCAACCCCTCCATAACACGGTAGATATGTTCCATTCCTTAAGAATCCATTTTGTACGAGTCCTTGCCAATCACAGCCCGACACGTGTGAATTTTACGGACTACAGCTGTCTGAAAGGTTTTCTTCCACAAAATTAATCGATTCCTAGACTAATTCGACTCAACATTTCCAAACTACGTATATTTTTTGGGGAATAATCCGTATAAACTATGCTATAAACAAAAAATTGTAGGATTACTTAGAGTGTGCACCGTTTGACGTTGCCATTGCTTAAGCTTGTTTTTGTCGCGGAGCAGTGCACCAAACGGCGGCTGCGATTTCTGGTAAATTATTTTTCTGCGAAAACTTCGTTGAACTTTGGAGACATCATTAATATAAATAATTTTTATGGCCGTTGAATAAGAAGTGTTTCTTTCACAAGAAATGTATAAAATTAGTGCTGTATTAGACTTACGGTACCTAATTTACATACTGTACAGACGATAGTAAACTCAACTTACTCGCCTAAACTCTCCATAGCGTGGCGCTGGACGGTGGAAAGTATATATATAATTATAATAGTTACAATAAATTAGGTACTGTACATATAATTATATATTAACTTAATTTATATATAATACTGTACAGACGATAGTAAACTCAATTTACCCACCTAAACTCTCCGTAGCGTGGCATTGGACGGCGGAAAGTAGTTCGGCTGCCCGATGATGTTTTACCGAATTATAGGAGTTTTTTACCATGTTTGTACAGATACCGTCGCAATTTTTTCGCCGTCATATAGGAATCCGAACTATAGGAACCCGTGTTATAGGGGGTGTACTGTAATGTTATAAAACTAGTAGGTAATTTGCAGATTACTTAGATAATCTGCACATTACCTAGGTAATTTGAGAAATAGAACAATTTTAGCAACTTTAACGGATCACCCTAGTTAATTTGCAGATAAGCTAGGTAATGTACACATTAACGACTTTAGAGCTTTAGCAGTAACATATACATAAATATCATTTCGTTCTGTAAAACTTTTAATAATATATTTAATGTAAAATTGCACAGTTTATCATTTTTTAAATAATGTAAAAAGGCAATATAAATGTACTTACATACTGTATATAAAATGCATCGGATAATAAATTTTGTTATGACTTTTTGCAGTTTATTGATGGTCCTTTTGATCAATATTTAGAAAATTTAAAGAATCCTAAGGTAGGTCTAAATAAATAAATAGATCTTACATAAAACTTAAATATAACAATATATAATTATAATTTAGGAGTGGGCAGGACATGTAGAAATAAAGGCTCTCTCTCATATATATAGGTAATGATAATTCTAGCTTTTACTAAAATCAAAATTTTATAAATACTAATGTATTCTTTCTTATTTAGGAGAGATTTTTTAATATATCAGGAAATTGGAAAACCTCCATGTAAATCAACAAATAATGGTTTTTCTGATTTTGTAAGTTTAAAAATCTAATTTTGTTTTTTTACTTTTTTAATTAAAATAGTTTATTATATAAGATATTTATTTTTTCAATTTGGAGTTCTGTTCATTACTTAATCTCTAAAACTAAAAAATTTGCTTTATTGGAACTCACTTATATCGAATATCTTCTTTCCCCATGTACTGTAATTAATTTTGTCTAGATAACCTCTGCTTGCATATATAGTAGAACCTCGATTATCCAGACTAATTGGGGATGAAAATAGTCCGGATAAGGAAAAATCTGGATAATCAAAAAAATAATAATTGACAGTGATATGTACAATACATACAGTATGAATAATTTTTATTTGTCTAGATTTACATTTACTGTAGCTTCAATATTAAATTATTTTTTATTAAGAAATTCAATTATTGTTAAACTTCATAATTTTTTCACTTTGGTTTTTTATATCTGAGATCGTTGATGTTCCAACACCATATTTATTAGATAATGAACGTCCAGACTCACCACGTTTCAAAGCATTGATTATATCCAATTTGTCTTTAATGATAATACAACACGTTTTCTTTTCGATGACATATCGGTAATATTAAAAATAAATACTGTATTTAAATCGTGATCAAATTTTCAAGAAACAAATGTTTGTATTGAATTTGAACGGCTACTGATCGGTACTAACAGACTGCCTATTGTTTAAAGGCCATCTGGTGGCGCAAGAAGATGGATTTTATAAAATACAGTAAAAAGCAGTTGAAACTCAAATTTTTATTCATAAAAAAATCGTTTTATGATGGGTAAAATTTTTTTGTCGCATTCACGGCTTTTAAGTAATGCATAAATTTTCAAGGTGTGAGGCCCCTCGGACCGTGAGGCCGTAGGCGGTGGCCCATGTCGCCCATGCCTTATGTTGCCCTTGGACATAGAAATGATGTAATTTCAATATAAATTATTTATAAATATACACATATTTATAAATAATTTCAAGTTATATTTTTATTACAACGCAAAATGTATTAAAAAGTTTACGACCACTGTGCCGGGTGAGATGATGTTGGAACAAAAAAGGTTATGCATTCCATCACGTACATAAACAGTATCACAATTTGCCAAGTGTAAATCAGCAAATTCGTAAAATTTTTGTTTATTTTGAACAATTCGGATAATCGAAAATTCGGATAATTGAGGTTCTACTGTATCTTGCAGAAAATTGCTAGAACAAATTTGACAGATGCTGAAAACCATATCTGTTCATAAAGCTTTCTCTTTTCTGCAGTTTTCTCCACTTGGGAACCCACTATTGAAGGAGGGGAAGAACCAAGATGATGCAGGTGTAAAGCCTCCATATACACAAATACAGATTGAACTGTTCCTAAAGAAATTTATCGAATAGGCATGCTAGGTGTGCACATGTGGGCTGAAAAATTACATAGCAAAAAGATAATATGCCTTTAAAAATTAGTGAATATTTAAAAAGTATATTTATAAAGAAAAATGTTTATTATTTAAGAATGATATTGTCGTCTTAAAATAAAAACGCTCTACATAAAAACCTTATAACAAAATTGTGCGTAAAGCCTCAAACATAATATGCCATTGCTAAAGAAGTCATAACTTGGGGTCAATTAGAAAACTTGTTTCAACACTGCTCAATGTCAAATAATTACAATCCTAGGAGGGGATATATTTGAAAAATAATTGTCCAAAAAATTAAACAGCAACATGGTCTTAAGTATGAAACTGTGAAGTGAATTGAGAGTTGAAGCTTGCAAATGACAGTATTATTGCTCACTTGACAATGTTGGATCAACATTGTCAAGTTGGAACCAACTAATGTTGGAATCAACAATTGAAGTTATTAAATATTATGACATAGATATGTACAGCACATTGTGTCATGATGTTTTTAAATATTTTTTCTGTTATGTAATAAAAGGTTGGTGACACTGTTGACCCCTCAGGGAGCCGTTGGTGATGTGACCTCATTTTACTCTCCCCTTTTCAGTGCTGAGTCAAGACAGTGTTATCTTTTGTGTAATCTTTGTTCCTTTGTTACATAACCATATATGCTAGTCTAACCAGTTTTCCTGATCTCTGAAAAGCAACATCCAGTCTAACACTAAACATGTCTACAACATGGATGAAAGTAAACTTTAATTAATGCAACTGGACAAAGCAATTTCTTCAGGATCTGTGAAAGGGTGATAGAAAACTAAGAACAGAATAATCCTCATCTTGTCACTTCTATTAAAATAGACATTCTTATAGACAAAGCTGCATGGTCTAGATGTTTTGCAAATTTCAGCTAAACCTTTCCTGTTAGAATGATAAGTTGTTAATTACTGTAGTTATAATCTGTTATGGTGATACCACAACTAAAAGTTCTTCAATTTATCAATTCTGTTTGTTGTTAAAAACAAACAAAAGAAAAAATATTTTGAACTAGAAAAATATAATTATTGTACCATATCAAAAATAAGACGATAAATTATTTTGTAACAAAGTGTGGATATGATCATTGAGTTCAGCTAGTGACTGAAAGAATTTAATGTCAATATAGAGAGATAAAATATTGTGTTCTGTTATTGCTTGATAATGCTCTCTGCCACAAAGTCCTAATGTGAAAATTGAGTTTGTACAAATTGTACTGGTTTGCTTTAGCCACATGTTGAAGCATCAAGTGGTTGAAGCCTAATCTGACTGATTCATGCCTTCAGTAGGAACAAGAACCTGACATCATGTATTCCAAGATGCACTACTATTGGCATCAAGTTAAATACGATAGAGTTGATCAATAGTGATCAACCAATTATTCTTTCCCTCAAAGATATTCTTTGATTCAGATCATGGGATGAAAGGAAATTTAATATAATAACAAAAATGTAATCAAAGTATGGTAATATTGTAAAGATTAAGATTTTTTTTATTAATGCTGTATTTAACTAACTTTTGTCCTCAAATCTTGCAACTCAAACTTTTACCATTTTAAGATTAAGAAGGCTGAAACTTTGAGGGCATATCTAAGTCTTATGACATTTTAATGGTGATTTTAGAGGACAGTTCCATCCACTTCATCCTCCCCACCCTGACATTCCTTAAACATACAAATTAAATTATATTTGGTTGTCAGTTTTAATGCATTGTAGTGATGGCTCCATTCCATCATATATACCTCCAATCTTGAAAAACATGATCAATAAAAGCATTTATTTTTTCTAAGTTCCTTTAAACATAATATCCATAGCAGTATATAATTAAATTAATATAGACCCTGCAAAAAATCACTAGGATGAAAATAAACCCTTCAAATTTCCACAGTGACATGTGCAATTAAGTAAGTTTTAATTGTATGTTTCTATATTTGTCTAGTTTTAATTTATAGTAGTTGATTTTTGATATAAAAAAATTACTAACAAAAATTTACTAACCAAAAATGATTAAAGAATTTCTCATAATTGCATGTGGATAAANATAAAAGCTTTATACTGATTTTGTAATAATGATGATAGTAATTATATTCCTGTTCTTATAATTAATTTTCAGATTACATTGTGTTATAGTCATGGTAACCATTATGATTGTGTGTATCCAAAATGTTTTTTGGAGTCTGCTGCTTTTTGTCAGTGTAAGTTCTTTTTTATGAATATTTGTAATAATTTTTCAACTTGGTCAATTTTTTTATTAATTATTATAACTTTTAAGTTACACATCTTAAGCATGCAACAAGAATTGATTTTTAAAGTTTTTTGCTAAAGAAAATGTTAAGTTTAAGCCTTTCCTTATTTAAATTCAAAATATTTGACGACACTTAATGGCTATGAAATATTTTAAGGAATGTTTTTAACTTATATAATTTATCCAATTTTTTCAAAAACAATATATAATAATGATATAACATTAATATGTTAAAAAAACAATACATTGATATATATCACAACATTTCAAAATTTACATATCATAGGGTGAGATAGTTTTGCTAGCAAAATTATAAAAAAGTAACCTGCATGCAACTCTCCATGCAGATTTTTTTTACTGTTAGCTATCAATACAGTGTGGTTTTCTATTGCTCTTACTACGAATTTAAACTAAACTGTAAAACATGAGTAAAAAGTGAAACAAAAGTAATAAATCATCCTAACAATGAATATTCTGATGTATATTACTGGTTTTTTTTTCTCAATTCAAATGCACACTTTCCCTCCCCTTGGTCTCAAATTGGGGTATACATTAGAATCAGGTACAAAGTTGAGTTAATGCAGTCTTGTTGATGTCATTTGCTCAGCAAATCAGTTTGTTGTATTATGCTGTTGGTGTAAACATTATACATTTCCCTCCCACTATTTCAGTTGGAAATAGGATTTGTTTATTAGGAAATAAACAAATCCTTAATAACGTCCCTTAGTTTAGGATTTGGAACGGTTTGGTGGTCTTTTTGAACTGTTAGGCTGTGTGTACACTAGGCATTTTTAAACGCGTGTTTTAAAGAACCAAGAGTTCTGCATAGGCATACACACTCAAATGCGTGCTTTTGGCCAAGCGCGCATTTGACGTGCATTTATAGATTTTTCTTAAAACGCGCGTTTTGCGGGCGTCAGCCGAGCGCTTTGAGATATATGTGCTGCCATGTTACTGTACATTCGATCGCGCATTTTGCGGGCGTCAGCCGAGCGCTTTGAGATATATGTGCTGCCATGTTACTGTACATTCGACTGCACGTTTTCAGGTAGAGTGGACGTACATTAGCCGAAATGGAGAACAATCATTTTGATACTGATCTATTTATTGATGAAATCTAAAAGAGACCACCATTGTCAAATGATTTCATAGATATTTTAAAAGAATTAAAAAACTTGGGTTTAATTTGTCTTAGTTTTGGATACAACGTTGCAAACTTTTAATGTGTCAGTCTATCTCGTAATATTGGGTGCACCCAAAATTCTCTTTGCCTCTGCCATCGTCTTTTATAGCGACAATGGAGGAGGGGCACACAAGCAATTACTTTCATGTCCATTTCCAAACTGAACCAATGTGTATGCTCCACTAAACAGTCGTCTAATGCCGAGCTAACGTGCAGTGTGTACACTGCTAACGCATGTTTAACGCAACACAAAACGCCTAGTGTGTACACAGCCTTACAGGCTAAGTGAACAATGTCTGGCAGATGAATTTTCTATAAGGCTGTTTAAGCAGAGAATTACCCACTATGCTGAAGAATATGTATAGAGATATATGATACTATGTATCTGGTAAATTTTGTGTGTATAGTCATAAAATCTTAAAATGTTGATTTGTATGATAATTTTGACTGTACTTTTGTATTTGTCCATGAATCCTATGTACCTGACGATAATGCATTCAAAAATGTGGACTTCATGAAGCACTGTAAATATAAAAATAAAATTCTTTTCAAAAGATGTTTGTTACTGTTTAAGTGAATTTAACTTTTTGCAGCTATATTTTTGACTAGCTGTACCTGGCCACGCATTGCTGTGGCTCAAAATGTGTGTATTATGAATGTATAACACTCCCCGCAGGAGGGAATTTCAAAAAATCCCTTCTTAGTGTACATTCTCTTGACATACCCTATTAAAACACAAAAAACCACATTTAAAATAGTACAATAGAAGCAGAGTTCTTCACAGTATTTTTAATTTTGTCCCCCTCATCTCCCCATGGGGGGAATTTCAACATCTATGTAATATAAAAGTTTAGACACATGCACTGTGTATCTCACTGACCACACAACTGTGCCACATGGTTACCTATCTCATATATGTACACATCTTGACCCTCAACTCCTGCTGACACCATAAATATAATGTTTACCTAGATGATATCTTTTAATTTATATGAATGTTTAATGGAATAGTATACAGCCTATGTCCACCGTAAAGGTCCATTCTAAATATTGATGAAAGAATGTTTGAAATCGGATGAGTAATTTTGGAGATTACCTCCTACATCCAAACTTTACCTCTTTATAATATTATAGATAAAGGACATGGATTACATTTGCAAGCTAACTTTTTCGGGTTTTGACTCATGATGGGACAATCCCAAAATTTCTGCCAATTCAGATTCTTCTGAAAACTCCTGATTCTGTTATGATTTCCAATTATTTTTAATACTTTCTAAAGTTTGTTAGTTTAGAAAAATTAATGATTTATATTATGACCATGACAATCATTAATTAATAAACATCAAGCTTAAGAATGATTCCAGCTTTTCCAACCTTTTGAAAGAAACCTGAAAATTCTCTAAACCAAACAATTGCCATAATTAATTGGGCCATTATTTTGCTATTATTTAATAGATATTAAGTACTTTGTTATTAGAGGTGGACGTTAGGCACCATATCTTACCTAAATTAATAAGGCCCAATTAATTATGGCAATTCTTTCTTTGATACTAAACCAATGTGTTGGGCTTCAGAATGTTTATTATACACTGAAAATTCTCCTATTTATATGTGGATATACATGCTTTTACTACAAAATAAATTTGTAATTTTATTTCAGATAAAGTTAATTTTGAAACACTATCCCCCAAAGAAATTACAGCTAATTTCCTTTTACTCAAAGAACTATCTCATCATGTCACTTAGGCTTGCAATCTTTGGAAACTGCTTTGTTGATCATTGCAATGATGAAAAAGGGAAAGTAAATGAGACGATGAACTTTTTTTTTCATGCTTCTTGTAAATTCTTTACACTAAATGATGATTGGCAGATGATGCAATGAGCTGAGCAAATATCATCACAAGTTAACCAAGTTTTCAATTCATTCACTTCATCCTGGTTTTTCTAAATGTACTGTACAATTGACTGAACTTTTTTAAGAAAAAGAAGAAACAAACGAATGCCTAAACTGACTCATCTTGAAAAATCAATTTTTAAAACTCAAAACTGCAGTAAACTTAGCACAAACAATTGTTTTTACTTAGACTCGTGCAAATTGCACTAGAAAATTTGACATACTGCATCATCATCTATGAATCATAACAAAAACACTTCTATATGAGCTGAAACTAATTTAGCTTGAACAACACTTTTTACACTTAAGTGTCTCCGGAAAAGATATTTAAGTATTTAATTAATTTTAATGAAAATTTTTCACCCTTTTTATAGGTTTGCATCAGGTTTAACAAGATCCAAACTGTTTAAGAAGATATTCTCTTATTAAACCTGACTCAGACATATGAATGGGGTCAAACTTTTGTTTAAATAAATTAGTGTTGCTGAAAAAAAATATTTAAGGTGTTATTCAAGCATTTTATCATAGTAAACATACTAAATATTAAAGATTAGTTTTTAATATTTTTTTAAATTAAAATATAATTATTTATTTTTTAACTTTTGCCAACACTTAAATATTTTTGTCAACTACCAGCCTTGATTTGAAATTGCAAGTCAAGTCAATCCAATACTGGCTGGGTGGCAATCCTAATGTCACTCTATCTCTGAAATGAGGACAGACAATACTGACCAAGTGCAATCTCTCATTGCTCTGACTACACACAAGAAAAGTCTGGCATGACAGATGGGACACCTTCAAGTGGGTGATGGACAACTGGGCGACAAAGTAAGAAGTGAATAATAAAATACAATTTTTTTAAAAAAATCACCATTCTTTCCTATCAATCTCAGTAAATTTAAATAAGATTTTAAGAAATAAGTTAAAAGAACGATTTTGTAATTAAACAAATTTATATATGTTAATACTTTATTTATGTTTACAAGTAAATAGAAAAGTGTGCTGTTTCAGGATAATAGTCTGGTTTTGGGCTATGTGTAATTTTTTTTAAAGAGTTGGCAGCAGTTTTGGTGGAGAGAAAGGTGTATAAAAAGAATTGTGGGTTGGCTGGAGGGGGCCTTGTTTCTGGCAGATGAGAGGTCACCCAGGTGAAGGAAAGGGTCCTTGGTTTTTCTTGTGTTTCTTTGTGTGTTAATGTGTTCAGAGTGACTGCATGGAGCGGCGCAAGTAATATCTACACAGACTTGTATTACCACTTTGAAGTGAAAGAATATGTTTGCATCAGCTGGAATATTTACCGGGTGATAAAAATGCTTTGTTGGTAAAAAGTAATTGTTGGTAGTGGACATTGCCCAACAATTAGTTTTCTTTTGTGAGCCCCACGTGTTTGGACTTTACTGAAAGGACCTGTATTATAGCAAACTTGTTGTACTGACAAACCTGGAGAGTTCATAGGTGTCTGTATGTGCAACCTGGTGAACAAATTGTAAATTTTTGTGTATATTTATTTTACTTGTACATAAACTTATTGTTAAGCTATTTTCATTTGTTGTCTTCTCACATGGTAATTCATTCCCTTTCACAATACTCTTAGTATCGATTATTATGATTTTCCACAAAGTCTCCAAGGACAGTTGAAAGCTACTCCAAAATTAACAAACATAAAAACAAAGACGACAATTACATAAAATTAAAAATACGTTGTTATACATTAAATACAATATAAATTAAAGGCAAAATATATATATATATATATATATAATTTCTTCAAAAGAATGTTTCAAAGAACTTCTCTTTATTGATGTGATTTGTTAACTGCTTCTGACACAATAATTAACAATGCTATAGTATGTTGTTCCAAAACATTTCCTAA